GGTATGACTTTGTTAACTGGTCATTCCAGATAATTGACCACTTCCCTAGGCTAGTGATATGACTGATGTCTGATGACTCATGCTTATTGACCACTAGCCTGGGCTATTGATATGACTTTGTAGGCTGATATGACAACCTAAATTTGTGTACCTTCAATGGCCGCTGTCTAAAACTATTACCAATCTCTCCAGTTTCTTTTTCAATTGATGAATATTATCAACCTATCCAGTCACTCAAAAGTGTTATAGTCAATTTAATACACAACACATAATAAGTAACTGGAAAGGTACAGCAATTGCTAAAACAAGAAATGTAGATAAATAAATACTCCTTGCACTTTAGTTTTTCATATTAACATGATTAAGTGGACAAGTGAAATTTATATATTTGACCTTAGGTTGAAATTTTTAAAAAAATGTCTAAATTCCCTTAGCAGAAAATTCCCTTACTCCTAGTTTTTACTTAGAACTAAACAAAAAGTAATCAGGTTGTTTTGAACATAATATATCATTTGTAAATTTACCTTTTAAGAGCATATATATATATATATAAATTATTAATAAAGATACTTCCTTTATTCACAAATTTAAAAGGACAGAATAAACTTAAAGGGGTACATAACTGGACACTGTAAATGTTAACTAACAGAAAGGGTTTGTGGGGCATTCCCTGCTCAATTTGCACACCTCTTAGCAGATTTTTACGTCATTATGTCCAAGTTTTCAAGAAGACTGTTTAAACCTGAAATAATTTTTACACTGATAAATTTTGATGTCACATTTGTAAGGCTACACTTATAAATATTTTAGTTAACCCTTACCCTACCCAAAAGTACATTTTAGAGACAGTGGGTAGGTTGGTAGGCATTTTCTTTTTTCTCACAGCAAAGGGAAATTGAAGTGTCAGATGTTTTTTAGTCTTCATGCTTATCAGATTAAAAGAAAACTTTTTCACATCAGAACAATAAAAGAATTTGGGTAGGCAGCTATGTTTTGGGTAGGTAGGGTTAGGAAAAACAAACATATTCTTTTGTATGGTCAATGCATTCCTTTAAAAATAAACAGAATGCAAGGATTACTACAAAAAATTTATAAAATCAGTTAAAGTTAATAACCAGATAGCATGTCTAAATGTTATGATAATCTTAGATGTCTGTAAAATTGTGTACTGATGTTTTTGTTCAATAATATGAAAGAACCCAGGTTTTTAGTTACCTCTAAAGATGTCATAGTTTATATTTATGATAGCTTGGAAAATATATATTTATGGATCAATGGGTAATGATTTTTCTTCTGAAATTTATATGAACAATGGGTATATATGTACAGATTCTTGCAAACAAAAATACATGTACAACTAATGTATATGAATGGGGTGTCTGGTTTACAACAAGAGCCAGATGTATGTACCAAACCCTCGAACTGTGTGCAAGATGAAACAAACACCCTAGCCCCACCCCCTTCGACCATATGTTAATGATGGGATCATAGGTAGCAGTAGTCCAGATAATTATGACAAAAAAAAATAGCCTTTCAAGACATCATAATTATTGGTCTAATCAGTAATTGAGTTAGGCTAAGGTTTGGTTTTACATTGGTTTATTCTGAGACATATATACAAGTGAATATGTGTCTCTCAAACACTGATTTAGGGGGTGAGCAGGGTGCATTGGACCCCCCTCTTGTAGGGAAAATTTGGTGGATATATAGGGAATCACCCAATCATGACTGGAGCATATATAGGGACTGGACTACAGATCAGATATATAGCCAATGAATCGTCTACAGTAGGGGCATACGTTTTTTTTAAATGCATGTAGACGATTGACGCGCCATAATATATTACATATATTTGACCCGTAGTCAAGACTGAAGTCCCCGTGCCATGGACTGGAGCAGCCCCCCCCCCCCCCCCTTAATGAAAATTTGGATCTGTTACTGTCGCTGGTTTAATATAGCTCTTCTGTATGTTTTCATATGTAACACACAGGGTAGCCCTCGTATGCATTCGTTGCGTGTAACTCCCCCCCCCCCTTTAATAATCGTCTTTTGAGTGCCTAGATACCGTGTTTGTACACAATATCTAAAGCTGATATAGTATTCAAAATACTTATTTTGGTATCGTCTCTGTTCCAGTGATATATGCCCTACATCTTGGGAAATATCCAAGAACTTCTGAACATATTTTTGTTTTCCGCTTGCTGATAGTTCTGTGAAATTAGATAATCGCGCCAATGCCGTGATCTCGTATCCCGCGTTGCTTCATAAAACTCATGAATATTCATACTACCCTAGGCTAGTGATACATAGAGTCTACCTGTCGAAATGCGAATCTCGTAAAGTTATATCGGTACCGTAAATAAGCTTTTCTTTCGTAAATAGTACTTTATAAATCTAATTTGGTCGATTGGCATTTTTGTATTTATATTAATCAAAAATGCTCAAACCAATGATATGGCAAGCCAAATATGATTTTAATTTTGATCTGATTGCTGGGACTATATTGACCTTTAGCCTGTGTGTTCTATATATGATTTTACTGTAACATTATTAAGAAAATGTTTCTGTCGACTGTATACAGTCTTACAACTTTAGGAAATACCTATAAGAACACTTAACATTTTCTATAGAAATATTTAGTTTTAGAAATTGATGTTGAATACAGATTAGCAATTAAAACTTTTCCCTTTTCTTTAAACTTTCGTGATAGATTTACAAACTATGTTTCAAAACATTTGTTACCTCCAAGATTGCTATTACAATATTCTAAACTGGGGTTCAATTATTGACAATTAACATTCTCAACATTGCTTTCGTATTGGCAGGTAACCAAGGTATATTAGGTCAGCACTGTATGTCTGTTCAAATTTATAAGTGACGACATTTGGAAATAAACCAATAATATATGTATTGTATTACATACTAAGGTTTACTGTATTCCCCAATTAAATGTGCATGCATTTTTATATCTGTATATAGTCTTTTTAAAGATTTTGCCAACGATCAAAGCACCTTTTCTATATTTGTTCCTGTGCAAATCAATCCTGAATTGCCATACTATATTTTTACTTCATTCTTTTTGCCTACAGTTTCCGAATGTTAGAGATGCAAGAAATATTCCTGTTTTCAGTTAACATTGTCCTGTGACAAATAGCTTTCTAAGAATAAAAAAATGATAAATCCCTAGCAAACCGGGGTCCACTTTTATATACTGTTAAAGGACTAGTCCTGGACAGTCTAAGATTTGATCATTAAAATTAATCCTTACTTTATTTTGTCATCACATACAACATATTACACAGTCATTCAAAATAATTGAGATTTCAAATAATCACACGAATACATATTAAGCATTGTGAAAACAAAAAGGAGACGAACTCATGAAAGGCGAATGTTTAGTATAAAAATTTCAAACTTTGAAAGAAGGAATTTATCCATTTTATTGTTGTTTGAAGCCGGACAGTTTCGATTATTCAGTTATTAAACAAAGAGTTTCAAATAATGAAGTTGAAGTCATCCCTTAACATAATTTGTGTTATTTATACCGGTAACAGTCTTGTCTATCCTTTGTAATGAAAAACGTCTTTCTTTTTTAAAATTTCACATACGGTGATATTTTAGGGTAAGAAATTTTTCATAACCATTGGTTTTTTAATTTGGGGATGGCTTAGGGAGTCAATTACGAATCCCCTATTGTGTGATGCCTATTTACTAAATATAAATTGTCAACATTGTTATAACAATTGTCATATATTATACAAAGTAGGTAGATATGCCTTGTGCTTTCATTTCTTATATTCGCATTCAATGAAGTATGCTATTTATTTATTTATTTATCATATTAATATATAAATTTTATATAAATATTTATTATTTTATACTGCTTACTACATATTATCGAAATTAAATTATCATACTTTACGATTTCATACATTTCTTCAGTTTTTGTAATGCTTATTTGTCAATTTATTTCACTTTTGCTATTCTTAATGACGTGGTTGTATACCAATAAAACTTGTAATACTAAAGAGTAATAACACAAATGTATCACATACATTGTTAGCAATTTTCTAGACTAAAAATAAAGCATTTATCTTTGGGGTTCCAACTGATAAAAGCACACCTTGATGACAATTATACATCATAGGCCTTCTGTGAATACGATAATGATGTGTCATAGGTCTCTGTTTGGATAAAAAAAATGTTGTGACAGACGTATCATTACAAGTTTTTGGTGATGCAAATTCAAACGCTTGTTAGTGTAATAATGGTGTTAACAGATTGTTGAAAATATGACAATCTATCATTTTATGCTATTCATAAAAATAATATATTACAAAGAATCATGTCATATTTGATCATTTACACAATGCCACAGTAAACCGCATGATGGAAAATACAGTTTAATAAAATGAATTCTAACGTGCAGTATCATATTTCCAAAATAAAGTGTTTATGTGTTTTTGAGTTTTGTAAAAGGTTTTAACCAATTTATGATATCTATATCCCTGGTATAATGTTTTAAAAGTAATTAAATTGTTGCGTAAACTGAAATACGCAACATCACTACAAAAACGTGCATAACGGAAAATTACAAACATTAAAATTAACAAAAGTAACAGAAAGTAGTCCCGTTTAAAAAGAATATATAATACCAAGATGAGAAAGGAAAATCGGTGAGTATATAGGTTGGAATAAGTGAATATAATTCCACGTGTTAGCCATATTTCAATAATTGATAGTTTTGCTCTCAGAATTAGAAGTATACAAATGAAACTGGTAATTAAAATTCGAGTTTTTTCTGTTTATGTTTTTGCCAGAAATAGCCTAACATTTGATATGTATCATTTTGTAGAACAGAAATGATATTCAAAAGTTTATTTCGACCTTATACAATCATATTTTTTAATAAAAACCAAGGAGAACAATTGATTTTTCTGAAGAAATATTAAGTTATACACACTAATTATGAGCTCATACTAATACAAAATATAACATACCTTTCCCATCTTTTAAATCTACGTGTTACATTAAACAACTATGTTACTTAACTCTCATACCGTCAGGATAGTTTCTTACTATAATAAAACTCGTGATGACTTATTGAAAATTAACATTCTATAATGGTTGGGGTATTGTCAAGAAAACAATATACAAAAGTTATTAGATTTATAAAAATAGCACTGTTTGTTTGTTCTTCGGATTTAAAAATGACGACATTTGGATTTAAACACTTTTATATTCATACTGGTGTTTAAAGCATTTTGAAAATGCAATTAGCGTTATTGCCGCCTTATTGTCAATAAAAATAATAAATCAAGGACCATAGCTGACACCGCTATCCTATTCATTGTTTGGAAATAATTTAAAGAAAGTTTTCTTACGCTTATGTTTACTTACCTTTATAGGAGCAAATGTCTGCAGTTTATGAAGAAGAGACATACGTCTAAATTTGATGTATTCAGCTAACGTTATCCAATGTTAATGTTAATCTAACTGAAAAAATATCAATATAAGAATAAGGAGATGTGGTATGATTCCCAATGAAACCTCTATCCACCAGTATTTTTCTCAATTGAATTGTTTCATACTTTTCATGTCGGGGACTATACGGTATGAGGTTTTCTCATTGTTGAAGGCCGTACGGTTGCCTATAATTATAATTGCCTACATCCACTTTATTTGAAATTTGTGGATAGTTGTCTCATTGGCAATCATATATCATCTCCTTATTTTTATAGTGAGCAATCATAGGCCACCGTACGGCTTTCAACAATGTGAAAAACCCATACCGTACAGTCGACTAAAACAACTCATTATACACAAAGCACTGAAAAGGTTATTGATTGTACAATTGATAAACCTTAGTAAGCCTTGGTTTACTTCAGTCTTCAGGGAAACATAATAAAAAACAAAACTTTTTTGGAATGTAAAAAGGATAAGTTTAAACCGATCGTCAATATAATACTTGGCCTTCATTTTATTTTGTTAATTATAAGATCGTTTTATTTGACAAAAAATTGGTTGAACTGTTTTAAAGTTATTGTAATCGGTTTGCTGACACACGATTTGTCTGTCAGTAAAAACGATAAAATTCTTTTACATAGTTGATCTAGTGGAATAAATCATATCGTTGATTGCTTGCGCGAGTCTAGTATTAAAACGAATATTGAATGACTTATCATTCGTTATACTCAATAACGTTTTTAGAATAGGTATTCATGAATAAAAGCAATGAACTCTAGATTGTATGTAGATATTTTCTGCAAACAGCTATTAGTTTAATATTGATAAATACAAATATTTTTTTTCCAAACTTTGATTCTGTTTTTGTCAAAGTTTCATAAAATTCTACGAAGGTTTGACAAAACTAAAGATGTCTAAACCCACACTGTATCTGTTATATGTTAACTTATAAAAAACAATATTAAGATGCTGATTTCTTGATTGGCAACAAATTTGTTACAATTGGTGGACCTGTTTTTTATCAAACGATCGACATTCACATGGGAACCAACTGTGCTCCTCCTCTTGCCGAGTTGTTCCTTTATTCCTATCAGGTTAACTTCATACAGGAGCTTCTTCGGAAGAATTAACAGAGGCTAGCATTATCCGTTAACTTCACTTTCCGATATTAAGATGAAGTCTTCTCACTAACTAAAAGTTTGATGACTATTTTAAACGCATCTATCCCATTAAATTTAAAATAAAGGATACAACAGATACAGTTAAGTCTGCCTCATACCTTGACTCACATCTAGAAATTGACAATGAGGGTCGGTTGAGAACAAAACTTTACGACAAGAGAGAGAGATGATTTCAGCTTCCCAATTGTGAACTTTTCATTTCTATGCAGCAACATTCCAGCAGCGCCTGTATATGGAGTATATATCTCCCTGTTGAAACGCTATTTCAGGACTTGCGTTTCCTATCATTGTTTTCCTTGAGAGAGGGTTGCTCCTCACAAGAAAGTATTATACCAAGAGTTCCAAGTTGTGAAGTTGAAATCATCCCTTCGAAATTAATACGGACGCCATCACGAGTTGGTTGACCGTTATGGAAGTTCTGTTTCACAGATGACGACGAATATGTTCTAATCGTCGTGATCACAATCCCGTCCTCCTTTTCTCCGTGTAACATATCGAATCAGACTTATCAGCGGGTTTGTACTTACAAGAGCAACACGATGGGTGCCACATATTCTAAGCGTTCGATGCATCCAATAATTTTGCTACTTCTGGTAAAATATTATCCAAAATTCCTCCGGATGGTACCTGAATGTAAATTTGCTGTTAATGTCTAACTTTTGAATCTCTGTGACATTTTTTACGAGAAATACAATCTGCAACTATATTTGTATAACAAGGAACAAATGTGCGTTTATGTGAAAATTACGTCATAACGACCATTATACTATGTGTCTAACAAGATTAATTATTCGCAAGTATTTTGGTGTCTTGTTATTTAAAATTTTAACCACTGCGTTATTATCCGAATTAAACAAAGTATTCTTTATATTAAATAAATTTCCCCATAAGTAAACAGACAGTGCAGTTGGTATAATTTCTAGATATGATATATCTATGAGAACATCAGTACCAGACCATTCAACAGACCATTTAAGAAAAGCTCATTAACCTTGGAGATAACAGCCTCACCCTTTGGTTAAACCAACAGCGCTGCCAGTGACCCACACACAGTTTGCAGGTCCCTTAAAGTTATCTTTTTCCTACCCAATACCCATTTAATTTTGATTTTTAACTCCAATACTTTGTCGTGCGGAATTTTTTTTATCATTTTTCTGTATATAAAAGCAAGCCTAAATAATTAAGTTTTGTTATTGGGCCTTCTGTTTTTTTATTAGCAATTTGGACTCCTAGACGACAACATACTGTATCGAAACTATATATCAGATTTTGCCATCCTGAGTATTACTTTTACCGGCAAATAGAAATCATCCAAATAATTATCAGTATTATTTGAATGAGACTCATTATTGACAGCCCATTGAATACATTTTTTTTTTCAAATGAACAATTTGATTATGAATAACCCATAGGCAATGATTTATCTATGAAATAATATTGATTAAGTTTAAACTCTAATTGATCAAAATCCCCTGTATCGATTTGGAGTAAGCTAAAGGTGGACTTAATGTCTTTTATACTAATTTCGACAGTTGGACCCAAGTTTTTGATCATATCAATAACATTATCAAAAGACGAATACTTAACGGTAGTTAACTTTTCATCAATAAAGTCGTTTACACTAAAATTTTGCGGAAAAGATAAGTGCGTTATCAACCTAAAGCTCAACAGTTGTTTTTGGATTTATGCCTACAGGCGAACACCTCAAAGTAAATATAGGTCTCGTCAAAAATGTACCAGCTATGCTCCATATTTTACTTCACTCAAGATTTTCCCCCACGCAATCTCAGGGGCTCTTTTCACAAAAAATCTTACGAGTAAAAATACTTGTAAGTAATGAACATTTCATTATAACTAACGATCAATTGTACTCGTAAGATTTTTTGTGAAAACAGTCGCTGGATTTTTGACGACGGGTCGTAATTCTTTTTATTCATTCCTACATCGTGGTACAAAGTATATAACAAATTAACCGAACTCCAAGTAAAATTCAAATCGGAAAGTCCCTCATCAAATGGCAAAATAAAAGCTCAATATAAATAAGAAGATGTGGTATGAGTGCCAATGAGACAACTCTCCATCCAAGTCACAATGTATAAAAAGTTAATAATTATAGGTCGAAGTACGGCCTTCAACACGGAGCCTTGGCTCACACCGAACAGTAAGCTATAAAGGGCCCCAAAATGACTAGTGTAAATCAATTCAAACAGGAAAACCAACGGTCTAATGTAAACGAGAAACGGTAAACACCTATGAACCACATTTACAAATACAACCACTGAACAACAGGCTCCTGACTTAGGACAGGTGCATAAAAATGCAGCGGGTTTAAACGTAAACACATCAAACTAATGGAAAACAACTGTCATATTCCTGACAGGGTACAGGCATTTCCTTATATAGAAAATGGTGGATTAAACCTGGTTTTATAGCTAGCTAAACCTCTCACTTGTCTGACTGTCGCATTAAATACCATTATATTGACAACAACGTGTGAACAAAGCAAACAGACATAATAGGTAAAAATGTCAAAAATAGGGGTACAAAATAATTTAACCTAAAACTTCAGAAAATCTCTTATATGTGATCATTGCATCATGCTCGTTTTTGGTAATTAAAAAGGAGCTTGTTTAATTCTGTAACATTGATTGGAAAAAATTCATAATGAGTTCTGCGGAACCCAGTGTCTCGCCTGCGATTGCTGCTGTCAGTGTAAAAGTGTATTGTTGACTTAAAAAATGAGTCCATTTATCAGTAAAATACAGAATTTAAAAAAAGTCAAACTTTAGATGCTATATTTTCGTCTTGATGATTAGCTTCTGTCCAAGTTTCATAACAATCCATGAAGGTTTACAAATGTATCATGTCAAAACAATTTAATCCCAGACTATATGTAAATGTTAACTGTAAAAAACGAAAAATACTGAAAATGAAAAAAAATATATTTTCAAAGTTTACTTCAGACATTATCTCTTGATCATAAAAAAGATTCTGCCAAAGTTTCATAAAATTCTGGGCAAAGTAATTGATGTATTACAAACTTTAATCTGACTGTATCTACTTGTTAACTGAAAAAAAACCCACTAAGTCGATCTATCAGTAAAATACGGGAAAATGAAAATAAATGTTTTCAAAATGTTGCTCTGGATACTGTATTGTGATCATTATCAAGCTTCTGTCCAAATTTCATACCAAGAAGGTTTCACAGAGTACTTGATGACTGAAAACTTTTAATCTCAGATTGAATTTGAATATTAACTGTAAAAAAAACTAAGTCCATTTATCAGTAAAATACGGAAAAATGAAAATAAATATTTTCAAAATTTTGCTCTGGATACTGTCTGTTGGTCATAAACTTCTGTCTCAATTTCATAATATTCCATGAGGATTTGACAAAGTTATTGATTTCTGAAAAC